AACTCATCCTTGGTGTTGGTAGAGTCGTTCAGGAGCTTGAATTTCTTTGCCGAGTATGCAGCTTTAACATTGCAGATTAACTCCTGGTCCATGGGCTGGATTAATGACGTAGTGTTGGGAGGAAGGAAGACCACTTTTACGTTGGGGTGACGATCCATAAGTAGGGGCGAGTGTCCAGGTGCGTTGTCAAGGAGCAACAAAATATTGAAAGGAACATTCTGTTGCTCGCAGAATTTCTGCACGTCAGGAACAAAAAAGTTGTCAAACCAGAAGAGGGACAGAGAAGAGGACATCCACGCCTTACGTGCGGTTAGCCAGTGGACATTAAGCTTGTTCATGTCCATATTCTTGTAGGCGTGCGGCTTGCGGGCTTTGTGAATCACCGATAACTTTGGTTTACAGGTACCGGAGGCATTGGTGGTAAACAGGACGGTGATGCGTTCCTTCTGCATCTTCCGCCCCCTTACCTTGCTCGCAGACTGGACAACGAAGGTCTTGGAAGGTAACTTTTTCCAGAAAAGACCAGATTCGTCCATGTTAAACACCTGGTCGTCACTGTACTGTCCTTCCTCCATAATCTCACGTAAAAACGGAGGAAAATCTCTAGCCGCCGCACGGTCAGCACTCGCTTCCTCACCAACAATGCTGATGTTGGTGACCTTGTTCCTCCTCTTAAACCTATGCAGCCAACCATGGGAAGCATTGAAGGGTTTGGGTTCTGCAATTCCCAGTTTACGTGTCACTGCTGCGTATAGCTCACGTGCGTACTCCTGCACTGAGCGCGTGTCCACCGCCATGTTGCGTCGCGCCTGACGCACCAAATAACTCACCAGCAAAGTTTCCACTTTTGCCAGCACCCTGTTCTGGCAATACCTGATAGATGAAGCACCTGCAGACTTTGTGATCTTCATGTGCTCCTTTATCTTGGCTGCATCCTTCTTTATTGTACGAATCGTAGATTCGTTGACGCCATGCTGGCGCGTGAGATCAACTTGGCGTCTTCCTTTCTCCAAATCTTGAACAATTTGGTACTTCAGCTCGTAGCTTAATGAACGTCGTGTCTTCTTTGGTTTAGTGCCACTGGGTCCAGGTAAGGAAAGGTTTCTCTCTGGGGGTGGTGGTCCGGCGGAAGCCATTTTTTACGGAACAATGGATGCGCGTTAACCCGGCGTGGCCTTGAGGGATGAAACTGCCGCGGCTAGGTCAAGCGTCGTCTCTCCTCCCTCCCCGGGGTAGTCACGTCATAATACTTTAAGCCAATTACAGCTAGCAGTAGAGGGGGGTAGGGTTGCATGGCTAATCACAGTCCGAGACGTCATATGACGTCAGTGATAACGCAACAAAGACACACACTGCGCAACCTTACCGCGCCGCTTACCCAAGCGGAGGGAGGAGGAGGGAGAGGCAGGCAGGCAGGCGGGCGGGTGGTTGGCGCATGGCGCGTGGGCAAAATCTAAAAAATAGCATCCGAGCCGGACACTCACCGCGTATATGTGGAAAAAACCCGCGTTAAGTGAAAGTTCAGCTTTGGCAAGGCACCGCGTATATGCGAAAACGCGTTAAGTGAAAGCGCGTTAAGCGGGGTAAAACTGTATATGTATATATATATATATATATATATATATAGTTCTGTCCATACTTCAACTATAAATCATCCTCTTCTTAATCCCCTGACCGATAATTAATCAATAGATGACTTCTTGCATTCAAAAATTAATATTACAGTATTATCACTATTTCAGGCTGGACCCTCTCAACCTCCAGATGAAGAGGACAATGATCACAGTGGATATAACAGTGGAGACGAGTATGAACCATTTGGGTGGAACCTCACAGCAGATCAATGGGAAGATGTATGTATATTTCTCTCAATTTTTTTGTACTGTATGCTTAATTTAATACCCTTTTATGTTGTATCTGACACTTGCTGGGTGATGAGGTAGGTTAGCTAGTTCAGCCAGATTATCACACCACTATATTATCAATTCACACAGCCTTAATTGTCTTCTGTACAGAACTGAACCCAAAACTCTTGTTTGAGGAGTCCAGAGTGATAGGTTAACTATGAGGTGTCATGATTAAGAGGATCACAATATTTGGTACAGTGTAGACATACCAGTCTTCCTGTATTCTCCATATAGGTCCAAGATATTTGAAACTGGGAGTGAAATATCAAGACACCTCTTGCTTGAAGCATATGAGGTGTAACTGCAGGACTGAAAGGGTTCAGCTGTCTCTTTCCTCTAGTTTAATTTCTCTGCTATCTTCATTGATTTGTTATGATTCCCTCACATGAAAAAGAATCATTAATTTTCCAATGGTGTGTGACTTACAAAATACCCCATAAAAATGTGCATATTGCCTTGGTATTATGGGGTGCTGTACTGTATATAAAGGTTGCAGCTGAGGGTCAGATTTCAAAACATTATATGGAAAAAAATTTTGTGTAGATAGAGATAATCTTTACAAAGACTTCACTGGGGTGTGAAGCATTACCAAACTGATAAGACTAGCTTTTGAATACCTGAATATAGAAATTTTTTGAGAAATTTTGTACTTTTAAATGAAGGTAGAGTAGGTGGGGTTGAAGAAGAGAAGTAGCTTAAAAGTTCCATTCTAGGTAGTCCAGTCACTATACAGTACAGTGATCCCTCGGTTAACGAGCGCCTTTGTTAACGAAATTTCTGTTAACGAATTACCTTCCATAAGATTCTTCACTTCGGTTAACGAATTCCTTACGAATTTTTCCCAACATGTTTTCGCCTGCATTTGCCTGCTCACCAGCTGTAGTATTAGTCCGCCAATACAGTATAATCGGTTTTAGGTCTTAAATTCCTTACCATTTTAGTAAATATCAAGAAGGTTGTAGTATTCAATAATTTTAAAAGTTTTATATTAAATTTTTTAGTCATTTTAACAATTATTGAACATAATTGAAGTACAGGAAACTAGTTTTTTGCGTGCTAAACAGCACTCAACACACCATGCTTGGCGTCAGTTTGTTTACCAGTTCAGAGGAAGGAACATCTTGTTTGAGACTCTTCAACATAAACGCTTTTTTTCTGTGTTTCCAGTCAAATTATTGGTCATTTTGAAATATATTTTACATATTGATACTATATAGCACAGTGCAGTGTTGATTCAAAGAAAATAATCTTGAATTACACCAAGTGAACTAAAATTTTATGGGTGAAATGGTGGCATGGGGTGACTTCTCTTCTACCCCAATGCCTTCTCTTCTCCCTTCTCCTCCACCCCCATTCTAATTCCCATCATCATCATCAACCAGGAGCCTTCTACATACACACCTCAAAGTAAGTGTACTTTACTGCATTTATTTTTAGTTTGTATGTAATTTTCGTTGAGCTGGAACCAATTACCCAAAAACCCATTGAAACAATTGTTTCGGTTAACGAGCAACCTTCTGGAACGAATTGTGCTCGTTAACCGAGGGACCACTGTATATAGGTTGTAAGTGATGAGAATAAAGAAGAAAAAGAAAAGAGGATGGAGGGATAAAGGGCTTGCTGTGCTAGTTAAAGAGAAGAGAAGGTCAAATGAATTCTAGTTGCAAGTAGGAAGTTATGAAAGAGTAAGGGCTACAGGAATATTAATTATAAAGAAAATTAAAATGGTGAAAAGAGAGTGAAAAGGAAGAGCTGAGAGATTGAGAAAATATTATCAAAGTTTTAAGAGAACTAGAAGCTGTTAGCCAAATAAATTGGCAACCAGTGGTGAAAGAGTTCAGAGAGAAACCCAAAAGATTTTATTTATTTTTTTATTTTTTTGTAGGAAAGAGAAAAGGTAAATGCTAAATGGAACGGAATATTTTTAACGGCTACTAAAAAAAAACATGAAACAGAAGCAAGAATTATCATACTATATTTAGGATATAGTGGACTGAAAAGTGCCGAGGCAAGAAAGAAAAGAGCGATACATAATTAAGGGTGAGACCAGCTGTAAACACATTTAAGAGCGGTAAGGGATCAGGAGTGGATGGAAATGCTTTGAAATGTTGAAAGAGGAACAGGGTTGGTGTATGGAAGGATCAATATTTATGAGAATACTGTAGTGCAGAAACAAAGAGCATATAGTAGACTCACCTCCTATTTTCTCAAAGTAATAGTCGCGTGTGTCCCCAAGCCTGTTTTGAAAATGCTTGTACAGTAGGATTTTTTTTTTACTCTGTTGTGCCTTTGGTGACATTGGTGGAATTTTTTGTAGCAAGGTGGTGTAGTGCCAAATGGAAACATAGTAGCTATGGGATGGACATGAAAGTAGAAGTGATCCATCGTAAGAAAAGTGGTAAGCGTGTGTCTGACATCTCACATGCCTGAAACTACCATCCATACCATACTTAAGAATGTAAAAAAAATATAGAAACAAGGGCTACAACTTGACTGAAATATTCAGAGTTGAAATTAACACAGCAAAAGAGTGATGTAATGGAAAGTATGGTTCACTGAAATGAGTGTGTGCGTGCACAATTACCCGACCGCGTGATTAGGTAACATCAACACACTGGCCCCAAAAAACTTTAAGTATGTTAAATAAGGTATTGTTTATATATTTTGAATGAAAACCCCAAGAGTGTTAAGCTCGGATAACGAGGACCCCCTTATAATAAAGGGGTGTTTCTTTAATATTTTTTGTTATTTTTAACACTGGTACAGTGTATGGAAGTCAACATTGATAGTGATACTGAAAATTTACCTTAATGCAATATGGAATGGAGAATAAGGTAAAAATTTAACATTCTCTGATTTTATAGTAAATTTGAAATGGTTTAAGGGAAATGAATGATGTTTTACTCTCAATGTACTTTTACAATTCTGTAAATGTGTTTGTTTTTTGTGAGTTATGATGTTTTTCATGTTTTGAGATGGCAATTTTGCCCCTAAGATGTGTGAATTTCATCCCCTCAAACTTTCACAAATACCCCTGTACTGTACTAGAGATCGGAGGTTGCAAATTGGGAGTTGGTATACATTTGCTGTACTAAATCGTGAATATGCAAATTTTGTGAATCCAGAAACTGAGAATATTGAGGAGAACAGTGTGTTCCAAAAAGAAAAAGTATATGTGGATCACATTTAGGAGTATGATATAAAAATATCTGGAAAATGGAAATACTGTATTTTGTTTATGCCATTAATGGCTCTAGAAAAAGTGTATAATATAATCATTAGAAAAATTATGTGGGCAGTACTGTGTTGAAGATACAGTTGGGGGATAAAGAGAAAATCGTTGAATACTATCCGGTTTTTGTTGAGTGCGTGAAACTTGTGCAGTATTCAGATGTCGTAGAAAGAGAAGAATGTGGGGTTTCTTAGAGAACTGTCTCAAACGAGCAAAACTTAAAAATGTATTGGGGAATAGTCAAGCTGATGTTATTTTATGGTTGTGAAACAATGGACCCTGAATCCTGGTGGGGAAAAAAGTTAGAAGGGATCAAAATAATATGCTGAAGGGCACTAAGTAGAATGTATAAAAGGCAAAAAATAAGTTGTAGAATATTAGAAGATGTGGAAGTAAAGATTGTTGCACTGAGAGCTGACCAGGTTGTACTTTAGAGATGTGGCCATATTGAGAAAATGGAAAGTAAAATTTAATATAAAAAAAAGATAATTCAGATGTAGGAGATAGAGAGATGAGAAGACTGAGGGGATAGAGGAATAAAGTTAGGAAGACAATGATGTGAAAGGGAAGAACATTAGGGAAGCTGCAGTGTGTGTGTTTGTGTTTAGATATTGATGTACTCTTAATGGGGGATGCTTGGTTAAGTGAAGAAACATGAATGAACCAGGTGGGTGTCTTTGAGCCTTGTTTTGGAAGGAGAAAACTGTAGCCAAATATGTTTGTTACAGAAGTTAGAGAATAAGCCAGAACAAGTGAAGGGAGACTTCTGTAAGCAATTGAGACCGGGGTACCTTCTCAGTTACCTGTGGGCAATAGTTATTTAACCCTTATGTATGGTGTTGCCTCTGAGCTAAATAAAATTGCCTGGTGATAGCCAAATGAAATATTAAAACTGTCATCCCCGTAGTGAAGAGGTTAGTGGAGATAGTCTACAAACCCCTTGTGTATGGTGCCTCCTCTGAGCTAAATAAAATTGTTTAGCAATATTCAAATAAAATGTTGAAAGTGGTGTCTCCATAGTAAAGGGGTTAAATCTTAAAAACAATATATTTTTATCACATATCAACACTTTATTCACAGAAAGAGCGAAGGTTTGAAAAGAAGATGAAAAAGAAAGGTCTTATGATCAAGAAGATGCGAGAAGATGGGGCTTGTCTGTTCCGTGCCATTGCTGATCAAGTCTTTGGTGACCAGGACATGCACAATAATGTTCGAAAGCACTGCATGGATTATATCGTAAGTACTGTATAACTTTGTTTTTTTTGTTTTGTTTTTTTAATAAATCATGCCTACCCGGTATATGAATATTTAAACTGTAGGAAAAGAATAAACTTATACTGTACCATTATTTTTTTTTTCTCTCTCTCCTTCCATGTTTGCTATTTTATTCCCCAGCATTTGCTCTGAAGCAGTCATTGCATGGTAGATCCCTGATTTAACACCAGTGGAACTGAAAATTGTCACACAAAATATAATCACATTTAAATGTTCTGTGTATTTCATTGGAAAATGCAGGGTACGGGACCACAGCCCCAAAATGTGCACCATAAAATTCCTTAACCTTTAAGTGGAGGCAAACTTCTGTTCCCGTATTGATGTTGGCTAACATCATTGGACTCTTCATATCCCATGTGTTCCAGTTTTTGAGCATATGGGGTGGAATAAGAAATCCTTTATTCCTTGCCATCCATTTAGGGTCAGATGCCACTTTTTCTCACTTCATCATTAATTCCATTATTTCAAAACACTTTTTAACACATTAAAACTCACCTTGAGTCTGAACAACTGATTGCTGGAATGCATTTGTTCCGACTCAAGGTGACTGTGCTAGGAAACGATGTACCCACCCTTGCTATCATCTGTTGAAGGCTGGGAAAACTTTATATTTTCATCAGCTGGTAGTTACCGGTAGTCTTCATTTGATATTAAACCTTAAAAAAATAATACAACATATAAAAATTAATCAATGCCTCTTAGAAGTGAATCATTAGAAATATATTTAATATATATTTTATTTGGCTAATGCCAGACTATTTTATTCAGCCCAGAGTCAGACCCCCATACACAAGAGATTAATGGTCTTCTTACACTAAAAGTCACAGCCTTAAGTTAAAGAAGCTACAAGTACAGAAAATTATCTGAGTTGATTTCTTTGGAGTAAGAGTTGTGAACTGTTATAATAACCTGCAAGTGAATGTTGTATCAGTAAGAGTTGTTAACTGTTGTAATTAGGGTTTACCAAATACTAGACTATTCGGCTGGATAGTGATTGTTTTTACTATCCAGTATCTGACTGGATAGTTGAAATTTTCAACTTCATGTATATAAATACAATTACATAAAGAGAAAGTGAATGAAAATTGATAATAAAAGGACTCACTCAGGAATTGGTTGAACTCATTATTATTAACTTTCTAGCTCGCCTGAACAGGACAGGTGAACTACAGCTGTCCAAGTTGTGCCATGGTTGTTATTGTTGTGGTGGTTGTCATCCACAAATTTTTCACCATTCTTTCATATTTAGGAATTTTTTCTCAAATAATTGGGAAGAAAATGTGTTTCTGTTACATAAATTAGTAAATTTAGTAGTGGGAGACACTAACCTGGCTGAAATTATTGTTGCTTTAATGCAGATATTAATGTTTTGGAACATAGATCATTTTTGGCTCCAAGCAAAGTTTTGGGTAACCTTACGATTATGGTGCGTTACTGCTAACCTGTTCGTGACAGGTGTTTATGCTGTGTAAATTAGTAATTAGGTTGTAGCATAGTACAGTACTATTATTTAAGAGCATTTAGTGGCATTTAGGTGAAAAATAAGTTGCCACAAACTTACAGTTGTCAAAGCAAGTGGCATCAATGGCTGATACTGCCATATATCTTTGATAGGAAATAAAATATTTTTCCAACTCAGAAAATACGAAACGTAGGATTTATAAAAAGTATGTAAGAAGACATGTTTCTATGGTAAGATATAGAGGGACAAAGAGTCAAACAGGTAACATCCCGTATGTGTCTGCTGCAGACCATAACTTTAAGAAAGTTGGTGCTAGTTTAATGGTGCTCTGACCTCCACTCACTCGCCACATTATTTTATTTATTTTATTTATTTTTCACTCTTTGAATGTAGATTGTGTGTGCATGTAACTGAGTAAAAATAATTATGTGTAACTACCAAAAATTATGATTTGAAAAATATTTAATACCTTTTAATAATTTTTTTTTTCACTTTCTGTGTGTAAGATTGAGTGTGTATGTAACTGAGTAAAGAAAATTAGGGATAGTGTATCTACCCAAAATTATGAGTTGAAAAATAACCATAACATAACGTGCAGCTCACAGATGGGGAACTTTTGGAAATATCCCTGCTCAGCCCTAGAATTACTTTTGACACTCATTTTAAATAATTTGTTCCAAAACAACTGTAAATATAAAGACTTCACTGTACAACATCAAACTTGCCTGTGTAATATTTAAGAAATGAGAGCAATTTAGTGTGTAACATTGCATCAAAATAGTTTAATCTATTTGTGTTAAACCCGGGGTCTACTGTATCTAATGTAATTGTTGTGCTTTTGTTTTCAAGGCAGAGATGTTCAGGGTTTAATGTGTGGAAACAGTACCTTTCATGCTTTTAACCGTAGTGGACATTAAAAAAAGGTGAATGTTCAATCTTTTTTTTATTTTATCTTCAGGCTCTGAATGAAGACGCTTTTGCTCCTTTTGTATCCGAGAACTTCCAGACATATGTCCAAAGAAAAAGACGTGATGATTGTTTTGGTAACCACGTAGAATTAGCTGCTATGTCAGAAATGTATAACCGCATCATCGAAGTCTATTGCTACAGTGTAGGTAAGTATTAAAATGCTTTTGCCTTATAGCTGGGAAAAGATGGAAGGAATTTAATGTACCAGAGGGTAAAGAAACTGAAGGTATATGACTAGGTTTAGCTTTCTTAGCTTAGGTTTGGCTAGCTTAAATAAAATTCAGTCAACTTACCTGAGCTAAGCTTATTTTAGGTTTGGTTAAGTTAGTTTAAGTTTGGTTAACTTAAGTGTATGGTATTTGTAATAGAACATGGATTGTTTAATACTTGAAAATATTGAACAGTATAATCATAAGTAAATATTTTGCAGAACCTATAAATAGTTTCCAAGGAAGTCTTCAAACAGATAATGAACCCATTCGATTGAGTTACCATATGGGGACGCACTACAACAGCCTTGTAGATCCCTTCAAGGCCACCATCGGTGTGGGTCTCGGCCTTCCTGGCTTTCAACCGGGTCTGGCGGAAAAGAACCTCATGAAGGAAGCTACCAGACAGAGCGAGAATGTCCACCTGGAGCAGGTCAGTTTGTGTTACAAACACAGAAAAGAATCTCGGTTATTTTTTAAGTTTAGTGAAATCCTAGCATAAAGTGGTGTATGGGAGGGTAACAGTAGTAAGAGAAATGACAACTCAAAATATATATATATATAGATACACACACACACAGGTATCACTCACTTAATGAAGGGGTTAGGTTTCTGAAAAATCATTCGTCAGGTGAATTTTCATATCTCGAACAACAGAGCAAATGGGAAAAACGGGGTTCGTTTCCCCACCTACAAGAAAACCCCAATATTATGCTCAACACATAAACAACATTAATAAAATATCTAGATGAAAATATGTAGCTAAAACCACAAAGGAAAAGATAAATGCAAGTTTAACACAACCGTCATTTGCTTAAGACGCTGACTGTGTAGCTTCAACATCACCATAACAATGCAGCCCAGTTGGGACACTGCCTCTTCCGACCCTTAGCAACAGGGCTCCCCCCTCCCTCTCAGTCTGCTTACTCTCATTGGCACACGAAGAAATGTTTTTTACCTTATGATTTTTTTTTTTGCATTCTTTATGTAGGATTGTGTGTGCCTGTAACTGAGTAAAACAATATATATATATATATATATATATATATATATATATATATATATATATATATATATATATAAATATATATATATATATATATAATATATATATATATATATAATATATATATATATATATATATATATATATATATATATATATATATATATATATATATATATATATATATATATATATATATATATATATATATATATATATATATATATATATATATATATATATATATATATATATACTGATAACCACAAGGAAAGAAGAAAACACGAAGTTCCCAAGCGCTTTCGTGTAATTCACATCTTCAGGGGTGAGTACAGACTAGAGAGAGTAATACAAATCAAGGTGTATATATACAGAGGAGGGTGAGACTAGGTCCACAATGGTCAGGTATTAGGTAATGACCCTACTAATCTTTAAATAGCACACAACGGTTCGTGGTCAGGTCAGATGGTCAAGTGACCCGGCCTTCTCACCTGATCACAAATCTTCTTAATTACAAAATTGTCCAGCTTGTACATGCCGTTACTCAAATTCATGTTGAATGCTTCGTTATGTTTAATAAGACTAGATTCTATGATGTTCCTACTGTCAATTGACTTACATGGTAATATTGAGGAGGCA